ATAGTAGGTGTCCAAGAAACATTCAACCAATCAGTGAAAAATCATCCAGAACTGGAACCTATTACTCAAAATCGGAGGCTTGGGTCTCAACACTTCGTCAGTGGAGCCTTGTTGATCACGGGGCTGCCAGCTTGTGCACAGAAGCTGTGACTGCCACCAGGGACTTGGAGAAGCAGGACCTTCTCTCTACTTCAGAAATTTCTCTCCCCCGATGACCTTTTACTAACTGAAAGGCTTTGACTGTGCATTCAGTACCCAAGGAAGGGCGCACGCTTGCAATCAACAGCTCTTAGCTACGATAAGTCTGTTTAATTAGCTGATTGAGACCTTGGGCCCCAGAAGGAAGAAGATATGGGAACCCCAGTTGCTAGAGATACTCAAAAGGCACTTGACCAAAAGGGCAGCCCAGTTGGCTGCTGTCTAGATGTACAGAGGCAGTGGAGCGGACGGCAAAGGAGGGCCACCTGAGACCTCATTCCACCAACGTTAGCCCTGGTGCCAGGTTAACCACATGTGTTGGCTTGGCCCACCCCGACAAAGACAACAGAACAAAATATCATGGGTTTGGTGCCTCAAACACCTGAATCTGTGTTCCAGCTCCACCACTTTTCCAGTTCCACAGGGCAAGTGACTTCCTGTGTTAGCTTAGGGTCCTCATCTATAAAGTGGGTGTAGTTGTCTTCCAACTCTGAGTTGCAATTAAGGCACAAAATGGAGATGATGAAAATGCCTAATGTAGAGACAGGTGCAGAGGGGATATTCATTAACCATGGCTGAAAAAAAATCGAGTTTTTTTCCATAGGAAAGTTAAATAAAGCAAACAGAAAAAGGGGCCAGGGAAAGAGGGAATTAATAAGAGAGTAGCATCTAGTATATGCTAAATATTTACTCAATTACACTTTCATAAGAATACTCCCTGGAGAATCAAATTCATCTATATGAATTTGGCCTTTTCTAACTTTTCTCCTTTCTGCTTCACCATATCTACCTGATAGTCTTCAGATTCTTCCACATGCAGAGACACTGGTGAGAAAATGAGAAATGAAAAAATGAAGGAAAAAGAAAGACATTCTCTATAAACCTGAGGCTCACTGGCTTGAGGGCCAAATCATGCCATTTTACTTAAAAACTGAACAGCCCTGCCCGGGGGAAAGCTCCATCGTGTAAATAGGAAACTGCTATATGAAATAAAGTTCCCTATAGCCAATGGAAACTTGATGTGCCCTGGTCCTAAAGCACCTGTTCTAGAGTCAGCCAACAGAATTTTATAATGTTGGGATATTCCGGAACGGAAGAGGGTCGGTCCCTCCTGCTCTTTTTTCATCACCTCTTCAGAAGTATTCAAATGAGTTGAGACAACTGCTTCACTTGGCATTTGGATCCGTCTATTAGCTACTCTAGGGCTCGAGTGCTTAGTCATTTCTTAGCTTGTGTCACTGCCACTTTGCTCTCGCATTTGACACTGACTCCAATAACCTTGTAGCATCTGCCCTCCCAATTCCCCTGCAAACCCTGAGCAGCCTGCTTCGATGAATGCTACTCTGAATGTCCTTTTATTTTCTTTTTCCCCTTTGACAAGGAAAAGAGCTATCAGGTTTCTAGAACATTCTTGAATAGCTAATTCCTGGAGTCCTTGTCCTCACTTCTTCCCCCTGTACCTCACTGGCATTTGCTCCAAAATCTGCTCCTTTTCAAACAACGACCTGGCACCGAGCTGAGGTTTCCAAATGTTAACTCCCTGGCACCAGTTCTGTAGGTGCTGAAAGGATTTGTCTCTGATTTGCACACAAATTCTTTCGTTTCGATGCATATCAGGCTCAGCTCAGCTTTTTGCCTTGCCTACAAGGTGCTTTGGAGGCCATGGCTTAGAGAACAGAGTGGAGAGGTCTTTCTCTTGCTTTTCAGACCATCTCTGAGCTCCTCCGACTGGAGAGTTTGGAATCCAGTCCTCTTGGTCTCTTCTTTCTACACCCCACGGGCAGAGTGCCTGGTGGACACCTACCTGCACAGCAGATCTTCACACTTCCTTCCAGGAGGTCTGCACAGCTACCAAACAGCTTCCCGGCACTGTTCTCATGGCTTGGCTCAAGGGAGAGCTTTTTAAAGCTTCTGAACCAAGTCCCACCCGCCCCCATACCCAGATGCCACCATTAACTGGATAGTTTCAGCTGAGCACTGGGGCAATCTACAATGTTTACTCTTACCTGCCAGACACCCACCAGTTTTCAATCTCTGCCTGATTATTATAATGTAAATGGAGCATGAGGGGAGGGAAAGAAGAAGCCAAAGAAACCCAGAAAAGAAGGAGAGCGCACTCATGCCTCACTCATCTGACCATTCCCTCGGGTTTTCTTGAGTGTTACATATAGAACTGGGGAAGGTGTTGGGCATTCAGAGACTCCAAATAAATGTTTAAGCCATGTCAAGGAATGATTTGGGGTTCTGTAAAAGCATCCTGGAAGAAGAATAGTGTCTGGGTTGAAACTTGATAGAAACAGCAAATCTATGGTGGACCTGCTGTGGTCGGATGGAGAGACAAGGGCTAAAAAAAAGGGGGCAAAATTTCATGAAGCTGAAACTGAGATCTTTCCAGCGGAAAAACACTCATAGCGTCTCTGGTAGAGAAGGAAGAGAAGGGCAGTTCAATGAGTAGGAAACGACTTTGCAAAGTTTTAGAAATGTGATAGTCTCCTCTAGGGACTACATGGGACAAATTAAGCATTTAGCAATTGTGCAGGGACGCAAGAGGGCTGAAAGCCTAGGGAAAATGATGTTTGGGGAGGAAGGCAGAGCATTCACAAACTAGCATGTGATGTGCATGTGATTCCAGGGGGCCATCTGAAGCTATCAATAGGCTTCAAATAAGGGTGAGGTAAGACAGAATTTCAGAGCAATATTTGGACTTCTAAGTAGAAGAGGGGAATTGGTTATAAATGGAATGATGATAATGGAAGCAGATCAATGTGAGTGCTCTGAAGGAAGGAGAATAAACGAGACTTGGTGGTCAATTATCTGTGATCATGGAAGGCAGAGAGGGGTCATGATGATTTCTAAAGTTTTGGCCAGGGCTGTTTGAGTTGACGATAATCCCTGAAAATAAAGGTGTAAGCTGTAAGAAAGACGAGCGGTCTGTTCACAGGTGTGGTTTCCTGCTCTGCTAGCAGGTCAGAATTAGAAGCAATCTGCCCCCTTCACCACTGAGAAGCAGCAGATGGCACGTGGCGAAGTAAAGCCCAGTGGCATCCTTACAGCTGGCTGCTATTAACACCAGACCAGGACCCAGAGCTAACTTTTCCAAGGTAGGCCAGTGCTTTTGTTTGCTTTGCTTTTGTGTTCGTGTCTTACACGCACCGTCTGGAATAATGTGTGATAGTACATTTAATAATTACTAAAACAAAATGGATTTTCAAAAATGCATCATTTTGACCTAAGCTTTCACCATTGTTGTTTGTTTGTTTGCAAAGACATTGCCCATCTGGGCCACTAAGTTGACAAGGTGTGCTTATTGTTTTCTAGGTCTTTTGGAAACGCATTGTCCGGGAAACATCATATCTACAATACCAAATTGACTTTGTTTTCCTTTTTTCTATTGAGGAAACCCAGACTAACAGGTGTAAATAAATAAATGCTCTAGAGTCACATCGTGGGTGTAAAATTATTTTATTGTTAGTGTGTCCTGTTGTTTCTCAGTTTGTCAGCTTTTAGGGGATTCAATACTAATTCCAATAGGTACTACCCAGAAGAGACTATTTTAAGGTACAATCTTAATAGCTGAACAAGCAGTAGGGCAGTAGGTTGATTAAACACCTGCACTGAGGAACTGAAAGGAATTCTAAAGGACGGCCACAACTTTGAGGGAATGGAATAAACAATAACTTTCAAGACACGCCAATATATTGAAGAGCAGCTCCACAGTCATCGAAGCCAAGCTTTCTACTTCCAGAGCCAGTCCGTCATTGTGTAGGAACCCCAGCTTCTTCTGCTGGAAAGGAGTTAATGGAGTCACAATATGACATGCTATTTTTATTCCTTTCCCGGATCAGCCATAGACTAACAATGCATTTCAAAGTACTGCTGATGGAAGCTCCACCTGAAACCTGTTCTCCCAGATAAGTATCTTTATCCCATTCGTCGTTTCAGGAAAAAATAATCTTATTGCTCGGCAGCATTTTCATCTGCTTTGGTTTCAGCCAGAGATAAACTGTGCCTGCTGCAAACTAATTAATATCAGTCACCTGGAAAGCAGAAATTGTGAGACAACTGGCTCCTACGTCTCGATAAACAGATTTCTGCATAAGGGATGCACGTGGATGTGACAATTCTTTTGGCCATAGAAATAGCAGAAATGAGGCATTTTTGGACAGATAGTTGGAAGGGATGAGCAAATATCCTCGGGATGCATTGATTTGAGCTTAGGTGAGTCTTTTGTGCTATGTTCCAAGCTTCTGTAAATCCTCAGGATGAGCAGAAATCTCTGGGCCCCCAGGGAAGTGCCCCTAAAAACAACCAGAATCCTTAGAGCAGTGGGCCGCTCTGGAAGGCTGCCCCTCTACCCCGGCTCTCAGCTGCCCCTTTGCCTGACCCAAGTTCATCCTTGGGTAAAGAACCAAAAAGCTTGGCCCAGCTGATGTACAATCCAAGGAATTCAAAATTAGAACCATTAAGCTAGGAAAGAAATGCAAATGATATTTAAAAGCATTACACAGCAGACAATTTCCCCAAAGGTAGCCTGTGTAGGGAAAAAAAGGAATGACTTCTACACATTTGGGAACAGAGAGTGGGGACAGGTAGATCAGGAAACTTTGTAATAGAAGCAGTAGTTGAACTGAGTCCTTCATAATGGTGCCATTAAGGAGATAGTTTAGAGATGTTGTCTGCTCTCAATTCTAGGAGATATGTGGGGGAAAATGGAGTGTTAACACTTCTGCTCACTCCACTGCTCAATTCTACATATCACAGGTCAGCTCAGGCAATACAGACTCCATGGAACCTTCACTGTCCTTCCTCCCTCCTGAGTAATGGATTTGTTCCCATACAGCTAGGGACATTTCTTACTTATATACTCATTACATTTTGTGTATCCATTAGATTACAGAGTATTTGAGGACAGCGTCTTTTATTAGTTCATTTTTCCATTTTGATGAATAGAAGAGGGTAGGCTTTTCTCTTCAAGTTTGTTGAATACTATATATGGCTCTTGACTCAGCTGGGGGTTTCTTAAAGATAGGTACTACATGATTTATCCCTTCTACGTCTAGTACAGTGCTCAAAGTAATGTTTCAATAAATGCTTAATGATTGAGGAGCCGACTCAAATGTCAACGTGACAATGAAGTTGGTGATGCACAGACCATACTGCGTGTCCTTCTGAATACCCAGTGTCACTATTCTAGCTTCCTCCAGATGGCAAGGATGTGGGTATCGAAATTTCTCACTTTTGCTCTAATCCAACTGCACTCATCTGAAATATACTTGAGCCAGAGTGCCATGGCTATAGTTTATCTTTTCCAGCTTAATTTAAAAATACATGAATCATCCAATGTTGAATTTCCAGTACTATTTATAAATAATAGAGGAGATATTTTGGAGAAAAGATCCACCTCAGACCTTTCAACTCATGGTATGGCCATAGCTGCCGAATCTGTAATGCTGATTCTGTCCCTCCGGGCACGCCTAATTGGTCAATCAATATTCCTGCTGTCTTATGGACTCAGTTTGTTCTACAGGAGTTGGTTCTTGTCAACGGGTTGCCTGTTTGTGTTCTGATGGCATACATACGGCACCAGAATTCCTGTAGTGTAACTGAAACAATGGCAGACTGCATTCTAGCCCAGACTCCACCTACTGTGTGGCATGAAGCCAGGGTCTTACTGTCTCTGATCCCGAGCATTTTTGTTTCTGTCCACTAAGACCCCATCCTGATGTTAGTTCAAGTCCTTTGAGTTTATTTATCTTCTCAAATAGAGTCCATGCAATCCACTGATATGGTATTTTACTTCATCTCCCTAGGTTCCCTTTGGGAGGGAGAAAGTGTAGCCTTAGAGGAACATTAGAAATGCTATGGACTTATGTGATTTCTGACTCAAGATGATGCATTAAGCTTTCAAGAGGCTTACAGCCCATCTAAGCCTTTCAAACAACTAACTCATTATTCCTAGTCGACCTGATCCATGGAGAGTGTTGGAAAATTCACAACAGTAGAAGACAGTGGAAGTGGCGTGTCATCTCTGCGTGTGTGGGTGAAAGGGCAGAAGTGAAGAAGAAGTGATTGGAAAGACAGGGAAATGACATCTTTTGCCCTCCAGATTCTGCTCAAGATCATCCTCTTCTTTGATTTAGACATTCATGGATTATGTACAGTGGACGCAGACACAGGAGGGCCACCATGCCAAGAGCTATGCCTTCCAAAGAGACTCAGAAACCAACTTCTAGCCAGATTCTCCCCGAATAAAATACTGTATTTCCTCCATTAAGCTCAACCTCCTTTCAACAATTCCCTTCTTATTTGGCCCGTGAAATGAATCATGAAGAGATTATTTTCTGGGCAAATTGGTAGAAAAACCTTGATGCAGACAGTTCCCCTTCTGATTGCAGCCTGACTTCCATTTATGGACTATCACCTCAAGTAGTGGTTCAGGGGTTTCAAAGGAGAGCTCAGCAAAAGCAAAAGAAAAAAAAAATCCCACAAAGTTTTTCAAGGTACCTACTGCAGAGTTATCAGGTCATAGATCTAAAAGTCAGCACTATATGCCTGATTTGCACATTCCAAACCAATTTGGTAATTTTTTTCACTTTTATCTGCACGCTTGAAGTGCTTTGGAATACTGAAACAATTTAGAATCATATTTAGTTTGCAACAGTTCAATTAACTTAAGTGCTGAAACATGTTCTCCAGCTGGTAACTAGTTTAATCGGTTACTATTACAAGAAATAATTTCTCAGTACTGGGGCTCCCCAGTGTCCTCTCTGGAGAGGGCATGGCCATGCACAAGTGGCAATGGGAGAGAAAGGAGTCTGGCAAAAATCTCTGACTTAAAGAAGAAAAATAAAATAATTATTTAAAGCAAAACTACCTAGGCATGGGTTTCCAAATTCTGGTGTGAGTTTATGATCTTCTGTTCCCTTGGAACAACTTTATAACCATTCAATAAGCAAGATGAGGGTGTGGATCAAGGGTCAAAGATTTTAAAGCTATTGCATAAATGCACTAACCATGAGCCAAAGTGATAAATAGGAAACCAAGATGAATGTCAGGAACGCTGTGAAGAATGATTAGCTGGGACAGTTAGAGCAGCTGCTGAGGCAACTCCAAACACCTGCAAAGAAGAATTTCCTTCTGGCTTACACCAAGGCTCAATTGTTCTAATTGCATTTGCATTAAAAGGCACTACCAGCAAATTGCAAAAGGATATGTATGGTAGAAAAATGCTCAGAAAATTTTCAAAACATACAACACTACATCTTACTTTTGGATATATGGAGCAGTAAAGAAAAACATGGATGAGAATCTCACATATTTACCACTGTGGGAAGGCAAAAAAAGAAAAGAATGGTATGGGATTTACAAGATGTTGACCATACTGAGGAAAATGTTAACAACTCATAGATCTGCATGGTAGACACACGGGGCTCAATTCTGTAATTTAAGCATTCATGTGTTTATTTGAAATGTGTTCTAATAAAAACTTGCCAACACTTTTAAAACAGTGTGACAGTGTCTCTTTTTGCCACCATTGTTAAACCAGTTGTTGCTCAAAAGCCGGTCTTGTTCCATGGAAACCACAATCCCCAGAGTATTTTGATTAAGGTTCTTAGAATTCCAGAGATGAAAGTCATGACCAACCTCCCTTTTTCACACTTGAGGATTTTAACTGATCTCATTCTCAATGAGCATGACCACCGGATTGGAGACAGGGCCCATGTACTGCAATGCTGAAACTGAGCCCCCCCTTTTCTTCACCGTTCGTGCCAGCAGTAACAAGAATAAGACCCCAAAAGGGCCATCTACAAACAGGGGCTGTGAGTATCTGGTGATCAGTGTCCACAGTGGTAATCCTAAGGCTTCACTGGAGAATGTTTAGCATTATAGAGAGAAATCCCAATAAATACCTTTGAGAACTTTCAAGAAGGTCGGAAATCATGAACAGCTAATATGCAAGCCAGACTTGTGCCATAACAATGAATACAGCCACAGGAACAAGGAAGCATTTGGTTCAAAGGTGGCTTGTCAATTTGCCTATTACTGGTCACATCCAATCTTGAATCAGAAAATGTAAAAGTGCTTGAAAAACCATAAAGAGGGACTAACTATTGATGAATTTTGTTATTTAATTCCTCGGTGGTAAGGTCAATGCATTTGAATGTGGAGAAGAGTTCTACTGTTTTCCTCAAGACAGTTCTCAGTGCTTTTAGGTGGAATCACAGCACTGTGCCATTCCTGCTGATTCAAATGAGGCTCCTTGGCTTCCATCGTCGTAGACATTGGTTGCACATACAGCAATGTATTTTCCAGAGAATACCGTATGTAGATAGACAATGACAGATAGATAGATGATAAATAGAGAGATAGATGATAGAGAAATGATACACTCAGATTCCTGGCAAGAGCGTCCTAGTGCTATTATATAAAACACACATTTCAATTTACTCTCACTATATTGCCAGCTAGCTATGAAGTAGGTCCCAATAGCTATTGTCCCCTTCTGCTCCTACTTCCTAGTATGGCTTCCGGCACATTGGAGGAGTTCAATGAATGTAGAATGAATAATACTATACAAACCTAGAATGGCTTTACCCAGCAGGAAACAAAAAACTACCCAAACTTTTCAATAACAAATTACTTCCAAAAGAAAAAATATTCATCTTTCAAACACAAACATTTTTTCTTGGAACCTTATATACAGCAAAAGAGTTAAGAAAATAAGTTTTGAGATTATCTGGATTTTCCCAAATCTCTAAGCCTCCATTTTTCATCTTTAAAATGGGAAGAGCTGTATACCCACCTCATCCTTTGGTTGGAGAAATAATTAAGAAAATCCACATGAACAGCTAAGCAAATTGAGTAAGAGATAGTACATTCCCAGTAAACATTATCATTATAATTATCTACACCACTCTCATAACACACTGAATCTACTGGACTTCCAAGCAGAGGGCAGCTCTTCATATTCAATTCCTATTGTGACAGGAAGATTTATTTAACCTTGCAATGAGGATGTTAGAGGAAAAGGGTCAGATTAAGCCACACCAGTGCCAGAGGCTGAATTGCTAGAAAACAGGACAAGCAGGTGTGTCACTAGGCGCTGACCCTGCGAAAGGAGCTCTCGAAGTTGATCAGGTTTCCAAATGGAATTGATAAAGCTAAAATTTTTAAAGTGTGGGGGGGGGGACCTACAAATCATGTCTTTAAATCATTACAGCACAAAAAAGTTAAACAGCTCCTGGTATCCAACAGATATGACTTTCGAGGGGGTTCGAGTGTCATGTCCAAAATGCTGAAAGTCTAGGAAGTCTCCCTTTGTTGCAAATGGCAGCTTTGAGATAATAAAACCGAATCAATTAGAAAATAAAAGAAGCCTTCCATCAGTGCATCACTGGAATGGAAGAACCCTTTTTTATCATACGCGTATTTAGGGTCAGCTCTTTATCATTCAAAAATTAAGACTTAAAAGTTCTATCCAAAAACCTGGCTATGGAAATCCCTACTTACCTCCCAAGAATATATAGTGGCATGGCATTAAAGAGGATTTTAATGAACCCCTTTGAACAAAGGCCAGGCCATTAAAGACCATTACTGTCCAGCTGACACAGAACCACCCCCACACATGGCCCAAGCATTGTAAGGCTCATTCTCTTCTTCACAGCTCTACTACCCTCGCTGTACAATTGCTTCTTTTATTTATATAATCCCATGGAATGAGTCAGCATAAAAAGTAAATAAGCAACCATGGGAAATCTCTGCCTAAACCTTGCTTTGTACCTGAAGTTCAAATGTGTTTGGTTAACCTTCTATTTATTCCTTTCCTTTCTCTCAGGTGACCTTTCTGGTCTTAGTCCCTGCCCTGTGCCATGGCACACAGTGGCTCAATGAAACTCCGGCAACATGGGACAAAGAAACTCTTATGAGCTGTCTATGAATCATGGCATTCATCAGGTGCACGCTGGCACTCTCTTTGTATGCCATCACATCTGCCATTGGAAATGGAAAATCTCTTCCCACTCTCCAGATGCTGAAGCCAAACAATGGGTAGTGAACTCCACTTTTGCTCTCCTTCCAATTGTTTTGCTGTTGGATAGTCTGAACTGCAGTTCATAACATTGACCCTAAGGAAAGAAACTCACTGAATTGGTACCAGGATGCTTTACCCATATTTACAGATAAGTGGAGAATTAGGCCATGCGGTGCACTTCATCAATAAGTTACCTGACGTGAAAGTAACACAGCCACATTGTAACAAAGCCACATCACATGCTGTGTGACCAGTTTACTAACGTACTCTTCTCTAGGAGGCAAGTAATTAATCATTATTCTGTGATAGGGCGCACATATTCCTGCCAACAAACAGGGAAGCACTTACAGAGGGCAATGCCCGTGAGCGCTATGAAACACTACTTATACATTTGATTAAAAGGTACAGTGATCAAGCTGCAAAACCTGCTAAATAGTTAAACTTGGAATAAGCACCGCTCCATCCTCTTTTGAGAATTAAGTAAGTCTTTTAAGTGCATTGTGAAGCTATGGTAGGAATAAGCCAGAGACCTGCTTTGAAATGAAGTGAGAAAGCAATGATACGAATGAAGACAAGACTGGATTTTCAACAACACCGAAGTCGATCAAAGGAAAGTACCTGTAAATTTCTGTAAATGACTTGCTAGAGGGTAGTGTGTGATAACTATATTACTATAGCCACTTTTTTCATCAATTAGTATTGTTAAAGAGAAGCTTGAATACAGAGTTCCTAACTGCAGCAAAAATAAATTCCCTCCAATTAAGTAGTCTAATAAGCTATTTAGGATTTTACCACTTAACATTCTTTCCTTCCCATTTAATTTCGGCTTTCAGTTGGATGTCATCTTGTTGAAAATCCATCACAGAAAACTATGTGGGGAAAAAAAGATAATGTTGCTAAGTGCCCCTGATGTACAAAAATGAGTAGAAGCACAATATTTTTTTTCTAAATCACTCCAAGATTGTTCTGAATAATTCAGCTTTTTCCTCCTAGAAATTAATATACGAAAATATATGCAAATGGTCAATATGCAAATTCGAGGATCACACTAGCTAGTAGCCTTCAGTCAGGACTATAGGCATAAATTTGAAACAATACAATATTTTAAGGTTCTTGCCTTTGTGTGCAAATGTGCGTGTATAATAACCTCCATTTAATTTAATCATGGAAATATTCTAAGATCATTTGGTTTTCTCCTGTAAAAGTTCTCTCACTTTTTTCAATTAATTAATTCCACTTCACCCCTTGTATAAGTGAGCTGATGGCAACCAATGGGTTTTGTGCTAAAAGGAAGTATGGTCACACTCCTACGAGACGGTGGGCAGAAAGGTGGCACATGGGAAGGCAGTGGCCTCGTGCCCTTCACAGGCATTCTGGACAGGGAATGAGCTTTCCAGTGCAGGCTGCTCCTTGAAATACTTGCATTTTATGTTCATTTCTTCCTGGACATTTCGAGTGTCCCTGAATGTAGAGAATTTGCCCCAGGGCAGTCACCTGATTACAACAGAGGAGGCCTGGAGACCAGCCCATGTGACCCACACATTCCACATGCTTGACTGGAGTGGAGCCTCTGAGGACTCTGCACACTCGCTGGCATCACGTGGGCGTGCAAGGAGGGGAGCAAGGGGGAGGAGGACGTTTAAATTAACTATGCACTGGGAAGAACAGACAACACCATAGTACACAGAATAAAATCAGCCGAGGAAGAGACGAAACATGACACAAAGGTTACTGCATGTTATCTGTTCCCCAAGGAAATCTTATTTTTCTTTTCACCAAAAAATTCTTTTCCCACAACATGTTAACAGAGACCAGTGAAAAGAAATAGGTTGCTTTGTCCCCATCAATAGAATCTATATAGCATCTTTTCCCCCAGGGATTAATTCAGCTTTTGATTAAATCTTCCTGAGATTTAAATCATGATGTTACAAACCTCTAAGGAACTCCTCTATGAATTGTGACCTTCTTTATTACTCTCTGCTGTTTGATAAAGTACAAAGATTGATTTATAATAGTAGTTTAATGTGTTTGGAAACTAGGAAGAGCAAGGAGGATCAGAAATATAAGACTAATACAAAGTAAACAGTGTAAAAACTATGCTTTAGTTAAGATATTCTACAATTAATACTGCATTACAATGGTGTAGCTGGGAATAGTAGTGTCAAGTCAGTATAATGATGTTATTAGGGCTGTAAATTATATCCAGTGATTAGCTAAATAACCCCCCAAAAGTAGAGGAAAATATACAATGATGAAAGAGAATTTCAACTCAATATCTCATTGTATATATTTTAGACAGATTTAGTTTGCAGGACTTTTGAATTGAGACAAGCTCCTTTGAAATAAACTGCTCATTTCACTGTTCATTGATTTTTGTTGGTCTAATTTTGATTTCAAATATGACTTTTTTTTGGCCATTAGTATCATCAAGAAGGGAAGTGAATTAATGCTTTCAGGACAATATGGAATGAAACCTTTATTTCTTAACCAGGTTTTCCCAGCCCAAAGCTGGGAATGTTTCTTAAAATCTCTGATTTTCTCTCTACCCACAAACACTACATTAGAGTAAAAAGTTAACCCGTGACTTGCATTATTCTAATATCTGTGCCAGTTCCAGCCAGCAAGATTAAAATTGTCCCACACAATTTACGCATCAGTAGAAGATAAGTTGAAAACAGATTTACCTACTGAACCTCAGGACTGCTCAGTATCCACAGTTGTAGATGAAGACAATATTTGGGTGAGATAATAGTAAGTTTTTACAGTGTATGTTCATAAAATAATTCACAAAATTTGCACTGGTATAAAGTACAACTAGGACCATGCGGAGTGTTTCTTGTGTTACTTAGCAGGCTGTAATGATTTATTGATAGGTCTATCACCTTTCCAACATTTACAAATATTATTTTCTCTAGAGGAGACATGGGGGAGAGGGCTGAGATATGTTTGGGAACCTTTCCACAATGCTATGCTAATGTTGGGTCTTGCGATTCAAGTGGTTGGGCATAGGAACAGCCGTCTGAAATTAGGAGAGGGAAGAGTGTGGATAAGGCATTGTCTGTCATTAGGAACACCATGAGCAGCCTGACAGTAAAACTCACCAGTGGCTGAGTTCATCCCATATTTAACCTGATGACTTGCATATCATGGGGGTCTGCATCTTGTTGCAAGGCCTAGAAAAATATCCAGTTCATCTACAGTAGAATAGTTTCCTACACCAAACATGTTTTTGGGTTTATCCCTAGAGACAACAGCTGGTACTTAAAATATACACTTTCCAGGGTTAAGTACAGAAATAGAGCTAATCCGTTTGATAAAGGCCCTTGTCACTTTTCATCTCTGGATGTTCATTATAGAAATCACCACCTCTGCCTTTGCCATTTGCAAGGAGACAGGGTAAAATACAGAAGGTGCACATTACCTGAGAGTTGAAATGCATCCATGAATATGGAAAAGCCGTGCAAAAGGAAGAGCAAGCCGGAGAGGAAATAGAATAATAACAAGTGAGTAATGTGTACTGATCTGAGAAACATACCAGCAGTTGGGTTACGATAAATAAGAAAAGCAGAAGTAGATTTGAAACATTCGTTTCCCTTTATTAGCTCAGTGAGGCTGATGTGTACTGCACATTTAAAAAAAAATCACAGGAATTTTCATACAATGAATAAAACCACAACAATACATGTAGAATTGGCAGGTGGAAATAAAAGCCCAGTAAGGGCTCAACTAATCGCTCCCTTTCCCTCTTCAGCATAGTTCAACCAACAGTATTACACTTTCACCTACAATCTTAAAGTAGCTCCATCAAGTCAGCAGTTCACATTATTGAAAATGTCTGTCACATAGGTACAAATTTAGAATCATCACATTATATTACATGGCTATTCTAGGTCATCTATAGATCAGGTCTTAGACTACAGTGATTGAAGTTCTCGTTACAGCCATCGAAAAAGGACACATAATCATTACCTACAGTAAGCTCAACATCTACAGGCATGGAAAGCTTTCTTTTTTTTTGTCAACTGACCCAAACATCATACCCCGACAAGGAGACGTTCCCTCTCTGCTACACTGAATGTTGACAGCCCTACCGTCGTTCACGGCATTGTTTAGCCAAAATAGATCTTGTTGCACTGGAAGAATTATTCTGCTACATCTCTTTAAACAAACCAACAAATTAAAAAAAAAAAAAAAACAACCCACATTTCTAAAGCACCAGTTCAGTTACCAAAATTGTAGATGTGGTACTTACCACAGCATGAAGGCAACGGCCCACGGTCATCTAGAAACCTTACAGATCTATGCTGAAATTTGCCTCTAGCGATGATGGGGTACACATGTTCATTTGAAATATTCTCTCCCAAAGATTTAAAAGTAAAAGGAACACAGCTTATATTTTCATGGGCTACCCACAGTGTCTGCACAAGATACAAAAGCTCCACTAATTTTAGATGCAATTCGAAGTCCATGGAGGAAAACTGTCTTCATAGGAACAACATTTGTGAGGCCAGAGGGGGGAGATAAATGAATTCTCCAGGTGGAATCTGTAGTGTCTTTTTTTTTTTTTTGGATAAGTAAGAAAAGAAACCAAGTATTTCACTCATGTCAACAATCCAGGGCAAAAGGAGAATGTATTTAAAATTGGATCACAAAAATTTAAAGGCAAAATAGAGAACACAGCTGGTCCTTGAACACATAATAGGATTTACTAAATATTGATTTCTTAAAAATAATTTATTGCTCTTAATAGTCTTTATTATTATTCTACAACAGAAGATACTCAAAATTCAGAAAGAAAGACTGTAAACTTTAGTTTGGCGTTCACACAGAGTTAAAATACCTGCATTTAACCTACAGAACAACAAGAATTAGGCGGATTAAGGATGTGTTACTGTTGTAACGCAGAACCTTTGAACAAGTTCTTGTATTTCATAGTATTTTTATTGCTTTCTATCTACTTAGAAATAAGAAGCCAAAAAATCAAGCAAGCATCCGACAGGACAGACAGTGGATTCACTCAGAACACAATATGCTGGTGATAAATGATGCAGCTGTCAAAATTAGCCGCACTGGCCTGGGGGTGGAAACCCATTTTATAAGATCGTGTTGGGTGAGAGAGAGGAAAAGAACGGTTAAGTAGTAGGTATATCGTGTCTTCCAGAAAAGTCATGTCAGCCAAACAGTAATCGAATCTCAACTCAGAAACTTGAAATACACACTCCAAACGTTAGAGAATTCCATTCCAGGGACTCCACACTCAGACGACATCCTGATGCTCAGAATGGAGTTTTTTCTGAAGTTTTTATTGAATTTAGCAGAAGCAAGGTCATCAAGAACAACATCATGGTCACGTCAGAGGCCATGCTAGTGCAAGTAGAAACAATGCTTCTGCAAAAGCTGAATTCCCCAAATGAAGCACTTACACTCCAACCTGACAATTGCCATGCATCCTAGGTAGAAAATTTCCACTGGCTTTATTATTTTCATCATCTCATAATTTATAATAAATAGGCTATCTGCAACTGATAAATATGTCTCTTTAGTAAACAAAGGAATGAGATATCAGTATTTATACAGGATGCATAACTGTAAAAAATACAGATAAATACCATCATCATACTCTGCCAAGGGAAAAGAGTTACTGGCTTCAAAGATAGTCTTCAGACACACATTAATTATTGTAAAAATCATACTGTAATTATTACCTCAGCATTTTGTATCAAATTAAAATCACAAAAATTAAAACAAAACAGCATTTTAAAAAGATTTTGACCTCTAGTTTCAAAACTACTGTTGATAGAGAAAATAAAAACATTTCTTAATGGTTACCCATTGAGAGACTTTACATAAAATCATGATATTGTCTAGAAAAATTTTAGATGAGAAAATTTCATTCCCCTAACAAATCCAGTGTATAAAACTTCAAAGAAAAACAAGCAACAAGAAAATGTGGAAAAACATTGCAGAAGTGGTTACACCTGTAGGGGACGAGGCTGTTGCTGGACAAGATGCTGAGATGGAAGCTCACCTAAGGAGGGGTGGATGTGCGTGGAGCATTGTTTTGTGGTTGCACTCAACGGACACACACTCTGTCTTTGTTTTTTACAATCAAATATATATAAGCAGTAAGTTCAGCTTCTAAATATGTTAGTGTACAATAATTGTTTCACCTCATAATTACATTTGAATATTCTCGATTAAGAAAAATTTAGCAGTTTTGAAAAGAAGGCTGCATTTACAGTGCATAGCTGTAACAAAAAAGAACATCGTTGTATAGTATGTACATAAAATAAAAATACTCCATTTAACATCTGTAAATACTTAACTACATCAGAGAATGTAGCAATTACACTATCTGAACACATCTCAGAGAGTTCTACCCAACTCTCATTAGTACTGTAACACCGTGTCCACTCCTCAGAGAGAACCACTGAACAAGCGACACGCTTGACCGTTAACAAGGCTGCTAAAATTTGTAGTGGAAGGTCAACATTTTGGACATTTACATGGGTGTCAGGACAAAGGACGAACTACAGAAACTTCAAAATGTTAGGAAAGTATAGCATTCTGGTGCCCGCAGTATCCTCTCCCACCAGATTCCATGGCAAAAGGAAAAAGAAAAAAGAAGAGAGAGAGAGAGAAAGAGAGAGAGAGAGAGAAAGACAGGATATTAGTTCTAGGAACCTGTGGTTTCTTCGGGATTGTCATATAATCATTACGTTGCAAGAGGAAGCTTGCTTCAAGTTGATTTTGCACTTTCTTAAAAAATAGAGTACGGAGGCCGATGTTCAGACACCAGCAACTGTCATTTTAGGGTGGTTTGAGGTTGGTTGATTGGTTGGTTGGTTGATTAGTTTTCTTTCCTTTTTAACTGACATTTTTTTTTTCCTTTTGAATAGAATACGAACATTTTGAAGTTCTAGGTTTTAGGTGTGTCTTCATGGAACTGCTGCCATTTGAAGTGGTTTGCCCTTGCACACTCTGGTCAGGTGCCCTCAGTCCCCACAGGCACGCACACATACTTCCCCCAAACCAGGCAAGCACACATGCATACACACACACACACACACACACACACACACACCATCACCGAGAGACTCCAGGGAAAGCAAATCTGACACCCATGAATAAACATGTGCTTACTGGATAGCATTCTGTCTCTTGCCTCTTCAGCAGCTGTGTTCATGTAAACCATTGTTGTTGTTGTTGTTGTTGTATTGTTGCTGTTGTTGTTTGTTTTTGTACAGAGAGTGTAAAGGAGGAGAAATTCCTAAGTATGACTTTCAGTTGTCTGTTAGGGAAGGGCGCACTGTCCCGTGAGGTATTCACCAGCCCTCTGTCATCCTCCGCCAGGGAACATGTTACCTGCGCAAGCTTCTTTGAGCTTCTTTCAGTAAACTATCAAAATCCAGAGAGTCGTACTTGCTCTTGGTGGAAGCAGGGTCAAAGTCATCTGAGTTTGAATCTGAAAGAAACCCAAGCCAGGTTAGATGCAGGTTGAGGCACTACCTCAACCATTCCAATTCAGTAGCACCAGCCTCATTCAATAGCAACATCACATACACATATATATGGGCAGGCAGTGGGCTCCATTGTTAAAAATGCCCCTTGGGATACCCACAATTCACACAGGAGTATCTGGGTTTGAGTCCCACCTCCAATTCCCAGTTCAAGTGTATTGCTAATGCATACCATGGTAGGCATCAGGTGATGGTCCAAGTAATTGGATCTCTACAACTCACGTGAGAGACCTGGACTGAATTCCTGACTCCTTACAGTTTGGCACAGCCCTGGTTTTTGCTGGCGTTTTGAATGAAACAGCAGATTGGAGCTCTCTCTCACACACACACATTCTTTGTCTCTCAAAATTAGTTATTTTTAATAAAAAAAGAATGAATATAAATACCTCTCTTCAGAAGGAATTTTGAAAATATTTTAAATTTCCTAACTGGATTATTCTAAGGGAAATTCAGAATTTCAGTGTCTCAATTTCCATGAGCAAATATTATTTTTAAAAAAATAGTTCTCAAGAGATTTTTTTTTTTCCCTGTCAAATTTGGTGTTCATATACATTTCCACTTACAGGCAAACCATGTCACATAGTAAGCAACTGGAAACTTTCTAGTCCCATGAGAAAGAATTTAGCTACAAGCTTTGTCTGAGGCAGTAACATCCACACTACCGCTTTCTCTACCCCTAACAGAAAAGCATTAGAACACTATCTAATGCAATAGAAATTTTATACAAATAATCCAGTAGCCATTCTAATTCGTTTTCAAAAGAAAGTGCTACACATAGTGATCCTACATTAACAAAAACAAATCGCGACACATTAGCATTCCTAACACCTGGAAAGCTACGTGCATGTTATGTATTCAAATTAATATTTGTTGAATGAGTATGTTAATATCAGATACCAACATATTATTATTTTTTTTTTTTGACCGGCAGAGTGGACAGTGAGAGAGAGAGAGAGACACAGAGAAAGGTCTTCCTTTTTGCCGTTGGTTCACCCTCCAATGGCCGCTGCGGCTGGCGCACCGCGCTGATCCGAAGGCAGGAAGCCAGGTGCTTCTCCTGGTCTCCCATGAGGTGCAGGGCCCAAGCACTTGGGCCATCCTCCACTGCACTCCTGGGCCATAACAGAGAGTTGGCCTGGAAGAGGGGCAACTGGGACAGAATCCGGCATCCCAACTGGGACTAGAACCCGGTGTGCCCGCGCCGCAGGCGGAGGATTAGCCTATTGAGCTGCAGCGCTGGCCAACACCAACATATTATTAAAAACATGGTTGAAAATATTTGAGTTGGGATCTGGGAACGCTTTACCAGTGATTGCAAACAGAGATGTGAAGCTCTATGTGTATATTCAAGGTACTGACAATGTAAGACCTTTCTTTGAGTTAATAAAGAATTTGCGATGAATGTGTAATTTATTTCATTTTTCTTAGATATTTATATACATGTTTGCTTCATAACTAATTCATGATCAAAATTATTATATTCATAACACTGACTGGCCTGTTCTGATGCTATAGTTCCAATGTCTATGTCTTTATCTTTAATATTTTATAGAGGCTTTTTAGAGCCATTTGCTTAAAAGACAGTAAATAGAAAGACACACATGGAGATTCACACAAGTCAGAACTTAAGTCCTTGTTTCATCACAATAACTTCCATCAAGACTCTTCTATTTCACAGTCTCATTTATAAAACTGGCTCATAAATAGTAGCTGGAATCATTATGCCTCATTATAATAATATTGTAGTAAGCATTAAACTAGTTTAAATAGTAGAGAAATAGTATGTGTGAGCTAATTTAATTTGCGGGGAGCAAATAAAATAAGAAAAACAGTTGTTTGCATTCATCCAACATGTTGTGTCATTTGACTGTCTAGGTAAAATGAATCTTTATCACATCATCTTCACTTTCCTCTTGCATACACGTAAGCGCCAAATCCCTCCACACATCCAGGATATTCTTATGCTCACCATATTCAGTGCCCGTGCATTTCCTGAAGCATTTAACTTGAACACACCAGGGAACAAAGACAAGACACATGAGAATTTTGAGTTCCAAAGCTGGCCTCTGGTGTTTACTTGTACAGTTCAAAATAACTTTCAGTTTCTACCTTCTCATTGCCACCATATTAAATTGTAAACATCTACCCTTTCCTGAACTCCTAAGATACGCCAAATTCTATGCTAACAACTTCACAAACATTTATTAGATCTTCACAATGACCATTATAATGTAGCTTACAAGTGAAAACCAAGGCCGGTGCCACGGCTCACTTGGCTATTCCTCGGCTAATCCCAGTTGGGGCGCCGGATTCTGTCCCAGTTGCTCCTCTTCCAGTCCAGCTCTCTGCTGTAGCCTGGGAAGGCAGTGGAGGATAGCGCAGGTCCCTGGGCCCTGCACCCGCATGGGACACCAGGAGGAAGCACCTGGCTCCTGGCTTTGGATAGGCGCAGCGCGCCAGCTGCCGCACACCGGCCATAGCACGCTGGCTGTAGTGGCCATTTGGGGGGTGAACCAACGGAAAGGAAGACCTTTCTCTCTGTTTCTCTCTCTCTCACTGTCTAACTCTGCCTGTCAAAAAATATAAAAACAACAACAACAAAAACAAATGCTAGAAGAATTAAATTGTTTGGCCAAGGTCAGAGGTAACCAAGTTTCAAATTCAGAGCTATAGGACTGCAAAGTCAGGGCTCTTGACTACACCAAGTCTATATAAGGAAAAACTACTTTTCATGCTAATGTAGAGCTTGAGGGAACTGGCAAAACCTATGCTACTACAATGCACATAAAACATACTTTTTAGAGAATACTGAGTGAGCTTAGAAACAATGAGGCTGCTTTTGCTGCTGGCCAGGCAGGGAGATGACGAGAGGGGAAGCATCCTTCTCAGAAATATTCCGGGGAGGCTCCATGCAATTTGGAAACACCATCCAGTCTTCCCTCTACCAGTGATGAATCGAAATCTAAAGGCCCCTCTAGGTAGCTTCTTTTAAACACTAGATGTTTTGAGAGACTAGAAACACCCTGGCCTTCATCACAGAAGAAAATAAGTCAAATCAACTCAAGACTTCAATCTGTCTTGACTGTTTTTATCAGCCTACATTTGAACAAATGACTTGCCACATTTTATATTTTCATCCTTAGGCCTCTATCTCCCTAAGAGTCAGCTGCCGCTCCCCTCCTTCACACTATCTGTTTAGCTTGTGAAGTGAATTATAGCATATTCCCTCTGAACAATGCACGCCACCTATATCAATTACTCCAGGAAGACATCAGTTCGTTGGAGGGGAGAAAAGAAATCCCTGTGTTTGGTAACCATTTCTTTCTTTACACAAAGCCAGAGCAAGTATAAATAGATGTCTAATAATGCTGAGGAACATTTACATGATAATTTAAATTCATTTTAAATTAATTGAAAATCATCAGATCATATGCACAAGACATTTGTTACTCTCCTTCATTCTTTCTTCAAAGAATTTAAAGACTTACAATGCACACATTAGATTGGGAAGCACAAAGGAGCAAAATCCAAATTGGAAAAAAAATTAAGATGTCCATTGCTGCATTATTTATAATAACAAAAAATTGAAAATGGAATCATTCTTTAGCCATAAAAGAACAATTAATTATAATGGTCCCATTTGTCAAAAATATTATGCAATCATTAAAATAGGTTGATGCATTATTTTCCCCTAGTTTTGCATATGTATGTCTTTGAGCAAGAGAGAGACAGAGTGAGACAGACAGCGCTGCATTGCTGGGTTACTCTCCAAAGACCCATTTAACACTTGTGGCTGACCAGAAATGAAGCTGGAAGGTAAGGACTCAACTCAGGTCCTCGGCGCCCAACTACTGGGGCTGCCACCCGCTGCCTTCCAGTGTGTGGTTGCACATTACTAAGAAACTGAAATTGGGAGCAAAGCTGGGACTTGAATCTGCTGTGGGAGGTGGCATCCCAACCACCATCTTAACTATCCAACAAAATGGCCAACGATGATAAAGTATCTCTAATCCTGTTGGTCTCAGCGGGAAATGAAGATTTACACACACACACACACACACACACACACAAGGTACTTTAAAAAGCTCAGGAAAAATGGAATTAAAAAGTGAGTTCATCTTGGTGCAAAATATTTTGAAATCCAGACATGGTTTTATTATAACATGAACCTTTTGAAGACAGTGTGTGTGTGTGTGTGTGTGTGTGTGTCTGTCCTCATCCATAAGAAACTAGACATTGTGAGGCAGACACCTTGAAGACAATTCACTTGACTGGTAATAACTGATAGGCTGATGGGTGATTTTTACTTATCTTTCTAATAGCTTTTTATCTTTTTCAAATTTTACTCCTTAAATCTACATGACTTCCACAACAAAGAAAAGCAAATATTTGTGTATGCATTATTTTCCTATCTGTAAAATGGGAGTGTGATTGGATCCACCTCCAGGACAGTTCTGTAATTTCATGAGAAAAGCCTTACAAGATCCTGGGGTGGGGCCTACATGGACGCACTTAACACCTAACAGGGTTTTCTTTCTTCTTTTGTTTTAAAGAAAGGGAGTAGGACGTGAATCAGTATTTGAACTTTTATTTTCTCCTCCCAAGTTGTGTTCCACAGGGAATGACAGCCTTCCTAAGAGTTTGTGAAATAATAAGGAGAAAAAACCAGGACGTTTACATATTTTGTTCCATAATACAATGATAGTGATGCTAGGGTTTGTACAAAAGAATCCGGGGTAGGCACAGAAATCAAAATCAGATTACAACACACGCAAAACATAAACACATGTAAACATATACAATATATCAACACACACACTTCCAAACAAAATACCACACACACACACACACACACACACACTCACTCATGGTATAGAATTTTAGCAGCTGGGCAGACATAACAAAGAATTTACTTCTGCCCCTTATTGCCAAATCCTAAGTCCTCTGCTTCTGAGACAGTCATGTTCACTTTATTTTTAAAATTTGTATTCAAATATTCCTTCTAGTAAAATAAAGTGATGGTCCCATCTACAGGGCCCACGAGTTATGTTTGCTCTCATTTTGGGCTCTGCTATGGATTCCTCATTCCACATACAATAAAATCCATACCTAGGTCTGCATAGTTAGACTTGAAAAATTGCTTGCGTCCACAAAAGTACAGCTCGAAGTCTGTTTCGTTCGACCTGCGCAAAGTATATCCATTTTCAAGAGCAGCAAAAGCATCACAGGTGTATCGGTAGGTAATGAAACCATAGCTGTCTCTGCAAGGGACAAAGCGGAGAAGTTCATAGCTGGTTAAGAGGCATTAGCATTTGGGACTGTAACCCCTTCTACATGGGAAGACTTTGCCCGTGCTAATGTCTGAGCCACTGCATCCATTTATCAATGTGATTGTCCTGTCAAGCAGCTAAATACTTATTTCTGGGACAGGAAATCTCAAGTAGAAAGATTAATAAATAGGGATGAAAGAAAATAAATAAGGTTCTGAACTCAACATGTCACCTGTCAAAGCACTTACACTGGCAACTCCCATCCCAGTAATCTTATGGCCATAATTTTTTACATACGTCAGCTTCTAAACAAGAAATAATCTTGAAGATTCTCACCCATCATCCCGCAGATTTACTGTGCACTCCTCAATTTCACCAAAAACTTCAAAACGGTCCCTCAGTTCTGTCCGTGTTGTGTCAGGTCTGATTTTACCCACATAAATCACGCGGCGCTCTTCCTATGGGGGGAAGTAAGGAAAGATTTAGCTCATCCGGGAGACAGGAAAGCAGCTGACTCTCTAGAACCACTAACAGATGTACAGACATGCAGAGCAAGAACTCAGAGGCATGCCAATTGGACAAAACACAGAAAGGCCTGGAACCAAGTTCCACTTCCCATTTCTTTCCTATCAAGCTCTTTGCCCTCACATGAATCCTTCTCTGTGCCCCTTCTTCTCCTCATGTTTCCTACCCATTTCTGATGCTCCCTCATGTCAACTTCGATGGGTCAGAAAAGAAACTAGTACAAAGTGGCCTTTTTTTCACCGAATAGCCAAAAAATACCTAACACTTGTGATCCGATTTCTTAATCTTCAAAATTGGTACAAAACTGACCTATTCTCCAAAACTACTGGATACCTCATTAACTTAGGATTCTCATAATGAGATATGCAAATTTTGACATCCACAAGAGAGAAGTTCTCAAACTCTAGCATAAATAAAAATGACTTGGGGTCCTCGTTAATCACCTAAATTATTACGGCTTATATCATCTGAGCTAAAACCGTTTGAGAAGGTAAGATTCAATAATCTTCATTTTTATCCAGCATACTCTAGTCGTTTTGATGCAAGTGGTGTAAAGACAATAATTTGAGAAATACAGACTTAAAATGTAGGCCATTTTAAGCCTTGGGCCTCTGAAGAATAAGTGCTAAATAAAAGAGGCTATAAATTTCACTTTGCCAATAAATCTGGTCTTCTTTTAAGAATAGACTAGAGAGGTGTGGCCTAATTCTCACAAATGGAGTCAATATCATCATAATCTGAAGTCATCAACAATCTATAACCTGTCAAATGTAGCAAGACTATTTCATATTCTGAGGATGAATTCCTTTTTAAAAAAACAGTGTTGCATTTTTTTTAACTTTTATTTAATGAATATAAATTTCCAAAACGGCTTATGGATTACAATGGCTTCCCCCCCATAACATCTCTCCCACCCGCATCCTCCCCTTTCCCACGCCCTCTCCCCTTCCATTCACATGAGGATTCATTTTCGATTCTCTTTATATACAGAAGATCAGTTTAGCTACATTAAGTAAAGATTTCAACAGTTAGCTCCCACACAAACATAAAGTGAAAAATAATAGATGATTTTTTAAATGATGATGAAATCAGATCAGACCTATTGTCATGTTTAATCCCAGCGAGAGTCAAGTTGGGAATTAATAATTTCTTCTTCTTCTTCTTTTTTTTTTTTTACAGAAGATCAGTTTAGTATACATTAAGTAAAGATTTCAACAGTTTGCACCCCCATAGAAACACAAAGCGAAATATACTGTTTGAGTACTCATTATAGCATTAAGTCTCAATGTACAGCACATTAAGGACAGAGATCCTACATGAGGAGTAAGTGCACAGTGACTCCTGTTGTTGACTTTACAAATTGACACTCCTGTCTATGGCATCAGTAATCTCCCTATGCACCAGTCATGAGTTTCCAAGGCTATGGAAGCCTTTTGAGTTCACCGACTCTTATCTTGTTTAGACAAGGTCATATTCAAAGTGGAGGTTCTCTCCTCCCTTCAGAGAAAGGTACCTCCTTCTTTGAAGACCTGTTCTTTCCACTGGGATCTCACTCACAGAGATCTTTCATTTAGGTTTGTTTTTTTTTGTTTGTTTGTTTTTTTTTTTTGTTTTTTTTTTTTTTTTTTTTTTTTTTTTTTGGCCAGAGTGTCTTGGATTTCCATGCCTGAAATACTCTCATGGGCTTTTCAGCCAGATCGGAATGCCTTTAGGGCTGATTCTGAGGCCAGAGTGCTGTTTAGGACATCCGCCATTCTATGAGTCTGCTGAGTATCTCGCTTCCCATGTTGGATCACTCTCCCCTTTATTTATTCTATCAGTTAGTATTAGCAGGTACTAGACTTGTTTATGTGCTCCCTTTGACTCTTAGTCCTTTCATTATGATCAATATGATCAATATGATCAATACTTGTTTATGTGCTCCCTTTGACTCTTAGTCCTTTCATTATGATCAATATGATATAGCTAAGACCTGGAACCAACCTAAATGCCCATCAACGGTAGACTGGATAAAGAAATTATGGGATATGTACTCTTTAGAATACTATACCGCAGTAAGAAACAACGAAATCCAGTCATTTGCAACAAAATGGAGGAATCTGGAACACATCATGCTGAGTGAAATAAGCCAGTCCCAAAGGGACAAATACCATATGTTCTCCCTGATCGGTGACAACTGACTGAACACCAAAAAGGAAACCTGTTGAAGTGAAATGGACACTATGGGAAACGGTGACTTGATCAGCATAGCCCTGACTGTTAACGAACAACTTAATACATTATCCCTCTTAGTAGTTTTTTTGTCTGTTCTACTTAATATGACTGGTTTAATTCTGTAATTAATACACAGTTATTCTTAAGGGTTGAAATTTAACTGAAATGTGATCCCTGTTAAACATAAAAGTAGGAATAAGAGAGGGAAGAGATGTACAATTTGGGACATGCTCAAGCTGACTTGCCCCAAATGGTAGAGTTAGAAACATACCAGGGGTCTCCAATTTAATCCCATCAAGGTGGCATGTACCAATGCCATCTCAACAGTGTTGCATTTTTAATGTAAGAAGGACTCCTACACCTGTTGTTCTAAAAAGACAAGGCCAAAATAATGACACTTCTCAAATCTGAGAAAATGTTTTAGAAGAACATTAAAAAGTTAATATAAAGAATGTGCTTACCAACACAGGAATGAAATAATCTTAAGGTTTCAGAGATTTGTTAGATTGAAGCAAAGACTTGGAAATACCAGTGTTAAGTATGCTACAAATACTTAGTACTGGTCTGTACTAAAGTACAGATATAACTTGCTCATGAGTTTTCTCTATACTGAGAGACCTCCAGTCTCAGATGGTATAAAATTATTTGTTCTTGGGACAAAAAGATGCCTTGTGTTACTGATTGAATATATTTTCTTTCCATAAGCACAGTATCTAACCATGAATCTGGCAAAGAGTAGAGCATCAAGAGGTACTTGTGAAACACATCTGAACAATGAACAGATTCTATCTTTCTAGACAGTGTGATCACCTGTATCCAGCCTTCTTTTCCCATATGCAATGCTTGCATCTCCATTTTCACCAGAAATGCATGTGTCTCTGAGCTTCAAACTCAAATAACCAACTATTGCCTTGACATCTCAGGCTGGCTGTCCTATCAGCATCTCAGGCTAGACTATCCCTACTCAAACCTCTTCTGCTTCACCCTTCCCCTAGCTGGTCCTTTTACAGTGCTCTTGTACAAACAAGGAGAACACCATCGAATCAAGTTATTCACGACAAAAAGCTGAGTGTCATCCAGAGCTCCTCCTGCATGCTTCCCTCCACTTACGCAACTGCACATTAAATCGTGCTGCAGTTCATCTCTTAAATACCGTCTAGTCTTTCTACTTTATTGCATCGCTCCTAACCTGCTAGCTTCTATTTCTGAACTAATACAACAGCCTATTACCTCGGATCTCTGTGTTCAGATTTACTTTCCTCCAGTCTGTTCTTTTACCGCCATCAGAACAGTCTTCACTAAAGAAAGAGGAATCCGATCATGCCGATCACCATGTAAAACATTTCAATGGATTCTCTTAACTCCCAGCAAAAGATCTATGTCATTAAATAGGTCCACAAGGCCTTGCATAGTCGAGACATTTCTTCATCATGGGCTTTATTTTTCATCCCATTCATTACTGGACTCTGTTTTCCAGCTACAATGAGTTTCTATTATTCCTTGCTATATACTATGTTCCTTTCTTCCCAAGATCTTTGACCAATCTGTTCCTTTGCCACCAGGAATATCCTTCCCTCACTGTCCCTGTCATGCTCCGTCACATACACTCACTGTCTAGAACTACATTAAACTCAATAATCAGTTCTTACCTTGAGACTTGAGATAAGCTCAGACTTTCCATTAGTGCCTCTTATAGAAAACAATTTCACCTCTGAAGTTCTAGTCTCAATTGTAATTAAATAATAGTTTATTAATTGTTCCATGTCTGACTCCCTACTACAATGAAAGTTTTATGAAAGTAGAGATCATACTCTTTCCAGACACTACTGTATTTTATTTATTTTTTAATTATTTATTTATAGAAAAGGCAGGGAGAGAGAGGGGTAGAGAGAGATATTAAGATTAGAGAGAGAGAGAGAGAGAGAGAGAGAAAGAAAGGAAATCTCACACCTACTGTTCACTCCTCAAATGCCCACAATAGCCAGAGTTGGCTAGGCTAAGCTAAAGCCTGGAGCAGGAAACTCAATCCAGGTATACCACATGGGTGGCAGAGAACAAGTACCTGAGACATTACCCACTGCCTCCCAGGGTGCACATTAGCATAAAGCTGATGTTGGGAGCAGAACAAGGACTCAAACACATCTAACATGAGATGTGGCCATCCCAAGTTGTGTCTTAGCTGCTATGCCAAATGCCTACCACCACTACTTTAACTGAAGCATAAGAGAACCACAGTGAAATTTTTTGTAAAATCACTCAGTAAGTCATTTTTACCCTTACTCTGTATCCTTTATTATACCAAAGATGCCTGAGTATACACCTTACTGAAACTCTCCAACAAAGAATGAAAGTTGGTTTTGATGCTTTATCATACAAACACCTTGCCCCAGTAGCCCAGTGGAGTAAATTCTCAATGGTTTCTTATCATGCTTTGTTTTTAACAGATTTAAGTGTTAAAAATATAGGGTAGCAGTGAACTCAGGGGGCTTCCATAGCCATGGCAGCTCATGACAAGAGCCTAGGGTGATTACTGAGGCCATAAACAAGAGTGTCAATCTGTTAAGTCAACAACAGGAGTCACTGTGCACTTACTCCTCATGTAGGATCTTTGTCCTTAGTGTGCTGTACATTGAGATTTAATGCTATAACTAGTACTCAAACAGTAGTTTTCACTTTATGTTTCTGTGTGGGAGCAAACTGTTGAAATCTTTACTTAATG